CTGTTCAGGAAAGCGCCGGTTCCCCTTTCTGTCGGCGGGCGGCTGGGGTTTCGTTTTCCTCCTGCGGGGCTTTGCGGCTGGGGGGCGGGCGAGCATTAGGGCTCCCGTCCCGGCAGTCGCCTTGGGTCGGGCGCGGGTCTGAAGCGCGGGGGACTGAAGGTTAAAACATCTCGGCTCCTCTTTTAAACACCTACTTTTTGAAAGCCCTCCAGGCAAACAAGCCTTGAAAACACCATTTGACGATCTTGCCTATTTCTGTAGTGTGTTTACACCAGAACACACTGCACCCTCAGTGCCCTGCTGATGCCGTCTCCTCTGTCGGGACTTGAAGAGGGGCTGTAGGCTTAGTTCATCTAGACAAGTGTGCAGCAGCTTCCGAGATAAACCAAAATGACGCCTCTTTGGAGGGGAGGTGGGGAAAGGGCCCTCTGCCCCCAACTTCGTGAAAAGGGACGACTTTCAGCAGCCCTTGCAAACTGCAATAGGCCAAGCGTGCTGTCAGAGCACGGGGGGTTTCATGTTGTGTCTTCCTGTGTTACCTATTTCAGCCTGTACTTTCAGTTTACGATGAGATTTATTAACATTAAAATGTTGTCGTAGTCAATACAACTTCACACAAAACTAACAGAGCCTGTTATTGTTCGCTTATCACTGTTTGCACCGGTGAGTCACGTAGTTGTGCCACAAGCATGGCAGGATGCCAGTGCTTCAGGTACCCATTCTCAGCTTAGTTTAGTCCTTTCCTCATTGTCATTACCTCTAGACTTTTTTACTTTTCGTAAAACACTGTCATAAAAAGTGAAAGCGAACTATCAGAAATAGGAAATGGACTCAATATATTGGACTCAAATAGGAAGTAGTCCCAATCCTAGCTTCCAGATAAAAGCTATTGTTGGTACAGGTGGAGTGGGGTGGTGGCTGATCGGCCTCTGTAGTTTCAAGAACAAACACCTATTAATAAAGTGTTTAAAATCAAAAGTCCTGGGCATTTTTAAATTCCAAAGATCCGTGTTCGTTAACATGGGTCAGAAGGACAAACATCACATTTCAAGAGGAGGCAGTCCCCCAAAGTCAGCATGAGCAGCTGCAAGCCCTAAGCAGTGTTTCTGAAAAAATGCTTATGGGAGGTGGGGGAAGAGGTTTTTAGAAGGGATCCGTGAGGCCTATACAGCCCTCACCGTGAATTGAGGTAAACTGGCTCTCTCACTTTTTCACTTTAATGGCAGAAAAACAGGAAGTAACTACCAGAAATTAGAAGTGCACTCTTTTAACTAATTCTTGGAAATCGTCTGTTTCATAATGTTGTTATATAACTTGCAAAAAAGAAGAAAAAATAGAAAAATATACAGTTCTTACTATATGCCTGACCTTTGCAAAATAAAACTATGGTTGTTTGTACAGAATCAAAGCACAGTAAATCACATGCATGCAAATACAGTAATTATGAGCACTGCACAAATATCAGGCTTTTCAAGCCATACAATTGTGGAAGATGAACAGATGATCTTTTAATACTTAATGCTTAACGTCAACAACAAAAAAAAATACTTATTCCACACAAGATAGTCTGCACATGTAGAATATTAATTTGAAAAAACATAGCCATTCTCAAGGCTTTTACAAATGTTTCGTATTAGAATAGTAATGCCAGTTCAGGTCTTTGTAATTCCTATCTGCTTTGCTTTCTTATAGGTCAACACCTGGGACACAAAGAATGCTAAGGTTTTAGGAGCATCACATTCAAGTCAACAATTCTTTATGCACTATTAATCAAGTCCTTCAGCCTTGAAATAAATCAAAATTACTAAAAGAAAGAGATTTTACTGCTGGATCTTAATGAGTTAACTTCTGCCACCTGCAGCATTTCCTCCAAAGCAAGCACCAAGTTTATTTTTACAGCTGAATTCCCAAATAACAGGTCAGTGAGGGGAAAGGAGTGTTTGCTACAACTGGGGATTTCATGTTCTGCCTTTCAGTAATGATAGGTTTCTTTGAGAATTATTCTGGCCGTTGAGTATAGTGGCTGTTTGAGCTTTTTGGTAAATTACCCTTACTTATTTTACTCTATTTCAAAAGAAGAAAGAAGATACTAAGAAAAGATGCTGGCTTTAGAAAAACGGGGAAGGAGCCTTAATTTTTCCGAGGTAAATTTCTTCTGTTACCTTCTGAGTGAGTCATCTATCCTCCCAAGGGGTATAGTTCACTTTCTGAGCTCTTAAAATAGATTTTTGTGATGGGTTTGTTCCCTCATCAGACACTTTCCTTCTGTAGCTGCCTTAAAAGGGCTTAAATTCTTCCAGTTACTGCCTGATTGCCTCATTTCATATCACACGTGTCTTTGGCTAAGAAGAATGTTGAAGCATTAGCTTTTTCTTCAAAGAGAAATTTTAGCATGCAGATTTGACTGGGAATGCTGA